CCTCCCCTGTCGCCAGCAGTGGCCTGTGGCAGTGCGCAGACCGTCGACACTCCTCCCCTGTCGCCAGCTGTGGCCTGTGGCAGCGGGCAGACCGTCGACACCCCTCCCCTGTCGCCAGCAGTGGCCTGTGGCAGTGCGCAGACCGTCGATACCCCTCCCCTGTCGCCAGCAGTGGCCTGTGGCAGACCGTCGATACCCCTCCCCTGTCGCCAGCAGTGGCCTGTGGCAGCGGGCAGACCGTCGATACTCCTCCTCTGTCGCCAGCAGTGGCCTGTGGCAGTGCGCAGACCGTCGATACCCCTCCCCTGTCGCCAGCAGTGGCCTGTGGCAGACCGTCGATACTCCTCCCCTGTCGCCAGCAGTGGCCTGTGGCAGTGCGCAGACCGTCGATACTCCTCCCCTGTCGCCAGCAGTGGCCTGTGGCAGTGTGCAGACCGTCGATGCTCCTTTCCTGTCGCCAGCAGTGGCCTGTGGCAGTGCGCAGACCGTCGACACTCCTCCCCTGTCGCCAGCAGTGGCCTGTGGCAGTGCGCAGACCGTCGATACCCCTCCCCTGTCGCCAGCAGTGGCCTGTGGCAGACCGTCGATACTCCTCCCCTGTCGCCAGCAGTGGCCTGTGGCAGTGTGCAGACCGTCGATGCTCCTTTCCTGTCGCCAGCAGTGGCCTGTGGCAGTGCGCAGACCGTCGACACTCCTCCCCTGTCGCCAGCAGTGGCCTGTGGCAGTGCGTAGACCGTCGATACCCTCCCCTGTCGCCAGCAGTGGCCTGTGGCAGTGCGCAGACCGTCGATATCCCTCCCCTGTCGCCAGCAGTGGCCCGTGGCAGTGCGCAGACCGTCGAAACCCCTCCCCTGTTGCCAGCAGTGGCCCGTGGCAGTGCGCAGACCGTCGACACTCCTCCCCTGTCGCCAGCAGTGGCCTGTGGCAGACCGTCGATACCCCTCCCCTGTCGCCAGCAGTGGCCTGTGGCAGTGCGCAGACCGTCGATACCTCTCCCCTGTCGCCAGCTGTAAGGCAGAAGCTCACCCACTAAGGCTTGGTGCGTGATATTGAGATAACGGGCTTTGTGAGCTATGTAAGCATGTGTCATGGCTGGGCAATGTTCGTGATCAGGTCGTGGAGATTGGTCGTGGTGAATCCTGGTCCTAGTGCACATGTTATGGATCTATTTCAAGAGGTTCATTTGCCCCTCGTAATGTTGACTCCCTGCCGCCGCTGCACGTGCCCGCGGCTCGGTCGATGCGTCAGCTCGTGCTCTGCCCAGCTGTGGCCGGACACCGCGGCGCGCGTGAATCAGGTCCGCGTGGGCAGCGCCGCGGAGACAGCAGCCTCTTGCGCGAGGACGCGGTGAGTGACTCACCTTCCGTCCGGCCGCGTCCGCCGGTCGACACTCATCGCCGGTCGGGCGCCACGCGGCGACAGCGCGCGACGCGCCGCACTTTCTTCCGGAGCGGCTCGTGCGACCGCTGCCGGCTCGTCTCGCGATGGGTGCTTGTCCTCCGGCCGTGTCGCGCGGCCGCCCCAGGCCGCCTGACCACGGACGTCAGGGCCGCCCTCTCGGCGGCGGCGCGGAGCCCACGTCAGCGCCATCTGTTGCCGGCCGGTCGGCCCGGTGCCGACCCGGACCGGCCGTTGGCCCGCGTCGCGCGCATTGTGTCACCGACGGGCCGCGTCGCTCGCGCGCCAAACAACTGTTTACGAGCGCGTAAAACGCGGCGGCGAGCGCCACGCGCCACCTGGGCCCGCTGCGGCCTTTGTGGCGCGGCGGCGGCCGGCGCTCGCCGCGCCCGTAATGACCCGCCGCCCCAGCAAATGCGCTTTTGATTGTGGGGAGATTGTGTCTCCGGCGGTGTGCGTACCGTTGGCGCGTGGAGCTGAGGGCGGCGCCGGCGCCATCTGGTGGACCCTCGTGACGGTGCGGCACCCGCAGTCGCTGGGAACTTCCCACAGCTTGGGCTGCGCTATCTAGATCGCCGAGCGGACATGCGCTTTCAGCCGGTCGAGCATGAAATGGCTCCGCGCAAAGGTGGGCCGTGGGGCACGCAGGGCGGCTGCTCCCCGCGGCTCGCTCGTGGGGTGGCTCTACCGGAATGATTTGTGCGAGGTCGGCCTGCTGCAATCGTGATTTGATTTTTGCCCGCGCGGTTCTTCGACTCCTCCCTGATTTACTGATGTGGCCTCGCACTAAGCTATTGCTTGCAACACTTCAAGATCTTTGGTACCGAGCTGCATGCCCACATGTCGCCTGCAGTAGAGTCCTCAACGCGTGGTCGCATCGATTTTCCGTTAAGTGATGGGTACAGGCTAACAGGCGCAGGTAATGGGACCAGCTGATAGCAGTGCATTACGCCTGTGCTATTTTGGCTCGTATCCATTGGCCAACTGTCATTTTCACGAGCGCTGTCTGACTGATTGCGGTATACGTATCCTGCGTACTAACTCGCCCATCGCCTCAGTGGCAACGAACTTTTCCTTCTTCAATCTGGTTTCGTTTGTCGTAGACCTGCCCTGCGGCCCTGTGGGACGAGTGGGGGCCCGGGAAGTGCCTCCCGGACCGGGTCGGGGCCGGGGAGTGCCTTTTTGGCCAGAAGGGGGAGGTAGAGGGGCGTGGCCACCGCTTATCGAGCCTGCTGTCTGCTGACATCCGCAGGGGTCTCTGCTAATGCGCCGCAGCACAGAGCCCGTTTAACCGCCCGTTGGGAGGGAAATCACGGTACATGACGCTCCCGGTTACGTGCGTGCATTATGATCATGCATCGATCGGGGACATTTTAGTGTCGTCCATGTCCTCGCTGAGTGTTGTGGATGCGCTCCGTTCAGAGGCGGAGACAAGAGTTGCAGTGGCAGGGGGGTAGGGAGGAGGAGCTATCGTGATTTGTGACGGGGGGCTATTTTACGAGCGAGTCGCACTCGCACTGACAGCACTTACACGCTGTGAACTGACAGATCTCACAAACGCTGAAACGCACAGCACCTAGCCTTTCAATGAGCTATGGGTGTTGGTTTGTCCTGGTGCCTTAAACAATGGTTTCAGCTGTGTACCGCACATGTTCGCTCGCTCGGTCTTGTCGTTAAACTACGGTTGTTTGGCTCGACTTAACGTCGCTCATGGGAGTGTCGATGAGATTTGCAACTGACGCGGCTTTTCTGATCACTAGATCCCAAAATTATACACAGTAGTGTCATGGTGAAGAAGAATTTCGCCCGAACCAGACTGCAGGGCTGGGGCCTCTAAAGCCCCATTAGCCCCCCCCCCCCCCTCCCCCGCCCCCTGGCCGCGCCACTGACTCCGCTCCGCCTGATGTCAATGTGCTCGGGTGGCGTTTGGCCTTGGTGCCTCATGATACATTGTGCGCCGTTTTAGACGCCCGCGGTGATCTATTAGCTGATGGCTGCTGACGTGCCGCTCGTTCATTTCACGGGCTTCTCCTAAAACGGAGGAGATAATCGCCCTTGTGCCAGGGCGTTGGCTTGTATTCAGTCCGCCAACTGCTGTTCCCAGTCAGTCGGAGGGGAATCAATTCGGCGCTGCCAGCTTATTCATAAGCCATATCGATACGGAGAGTTGATGGGTATGGGAGTGGTGCCCAAGGGACCAGAACCGTTTCTGTTTTCTCTGATGGAATGCGTTCTTCATTCGATTGTGTCGTCGTGCTCTCCACCGGGGCAACCATGACTGTGCGTGTGCTTGTTGGACGGGAACAAACGCCGCTGTCGTGGAGGCACTGGTTGAATGGATATCGCCGTGGCCTGCGCTGGCGTCAGGAACTGGCATTGAGAGCGAACGTGCCCTTCGAAGTGCATTCCGTCGTACTGGAGCGAGTCTCTACAGTGTCCCCGACCATTCTTTAGTTCAGAAACGTCGACGGGGCCCGGCTGGGTATGAACAAACCCTTGACCGAACCTGACCAATACCAAGCCTGCAGCAGCTATTCTCGTAACTGCAGGGGTGTTCGTCGCGTGCAGTTCTGCTGGAATAGTCTTCGACCCAACACCGGTCGTGAAGGGCGCGATTGTTGTGTTTTCCCCGTTACAATCATCGCTTCGGATTCGATTGTCATGCTGATCTCTCCCGCCGTCTTCACTTCTTCATGCGCACGGCTGCGCCCTTAGCTGCAGCAGACCGCCGCCGGGCGGTACACAGGCCCGCCCGGCCCCGGCCGGCGGCGGCCGCCGCCCCTGCGCCGGCGGCCGCCGCGAGCGGCGGGTCGCCCGGGCCGCGCCGACAGGAATGTGTGGCCGGCAGCGGCCGGTCGGAGGCGGGCCCGAGCCTGGACCGGCCCAGCGGACACCGCTAAGGCGCAGAGGGTCCGGCCGGGACCGCGCTGCGGTGGCGCAAACCGGGACACGCGACGCGGTTGGTAGGGGGAGGGGGAGGGGCGAACATTCAGGAGCTACCGAAATCCTTTTGCAGCCAAAAAATCCGTCAGCCCATGGACGGCGGCCCCACCTGGTGCTGGCGCCGCCGTCCGAGGCTCTCGGTGTTCCGACGCCGTGCCTGGGAGCGGCGCTGGACTGGCGATGCAGCTCAGGGCAGGCGAGCGACCTGACGAAGAACGATTACCCCAGTGCCGGGCCAGAATGTGTGTCGTTGGCAGCGCCGGCTCAGGGGAGACTGGTCATTACCCGACATTGCGTGCGTTTGGACGGAAAACAGACAATTAACCCAATTACCCGCCCTCCGGGAACGTATGATATAGCTTGAGTTAGCAATATCTCAGGATGCAGCAAAGGCATGACGGCAAAAACGGTAATCATAGCGTTTCTGCGTTAATTGTTACTCGGTTTCTTAATTGTTCCGTAGTGTGTTTTCCTGTCGGGAAGTTATTCGTGGAAAAACTCGCCCATGAAGGGGCGATCACTTCTGAGAATCTCCGCCGCTTGTCTGGACCGTCGTGTACCCGGCGGTACCCGCGGTACCCTGTGCTCGCTGTGGTGCTCTCGGCGTGTCCCCGCACCTGTCTCGACCTGACCTGACTCGGCACGTCTGTCCGTTGCAGCGGCGAGAACCAGTGGCTGCACCCGGACGTGCGCGTGCTGGAGCATGACCTGCCCCGGGGCGGCCCGCTCGTCCTGCACTTCTTGGTCCGGTGAGTGAGGCCGGCGAGAGCCTGGCCTGTCGGGCGCGGACAAGCCGGCTGGCGTCGAGCCGCCCCACGGGGGCCGCCGCCGCAGCCGACGTCCGGCGGTGCACGGGTCGAGTGACGGTGCAGGGGCTCCGGTCGGTCGGCTGTACGACCACGGTCGGCCGTGGTCGTACAGCCGTGTGTGATGTTCGTACAGTGGACAGCCATGTGTGATGTTCGTACGGTGGACAGCCGTGTGTGATGTCTGTACGGTGGACAGCCGTGTTTGATGTTCGTACGGTGGATAGCCGTGTTTGATGTTCGTACGGTGGTCAGCCGAGTGTAATGTTCGCACGGTGGTCACCCGTGTGTGATGTTCGTACAGTGGACAGCCGTGTGTGATGTTCGCACGGTGGACAACCATGTGTGATGTTCGTACGGTGGACAGCCGTGTGTGATGTTCGCACGGTGGACAGCCGTGTGTGATGTTCGTACGGTGGACAGCCGTGTGTGATGTTCGTACGGTGGACAGCCGTGTGTGATGTTCGCACGGTGGACAGCCGTGTGTGATGTTCGTACGGTGGACAGCCGTGTGTGATGTTCGCACGGTGGACAGCCGTGTGTGATGCTCGCACGGTGGACAGCCGTGTGTGATGTTCGCACGGTGGACAGCCGTGTGTGATGTTCGTACGGTGGACAGCCGTGTGTGATGTTCGTACGGTGGACAGCCGTGTGTGATGTTCGTACGGTGGACAGCCGTGTGTGATGTTCGTACGGTGGACAGCCGTGTGTGATGTTCGCACGGTGGACAACCATGTGTGATGTTCGTACGGTGGACAGCCGTGTGTGATGTTCGCACGGTGGACAGCCGTGTGTGATGTTCGCACGGTGGACAGCCGTGTGTGGTGTTCGCACGGTGGACAGCCGTGTGTGATGTTCGCATGGTGGACAGCCGTGTGTGATGTTCGTACGGTGGACAGCCGTGTGTGGTGTTCGCACGGTGGACAGCCGTGTGTGATGTTCGCACGGTGGACAGCCGTGTGTGATGTTCGCACGGTGGACAGCCGTGTGTGATGTTCGCACGGTGGACAGCCGTGTGTGATGTTCGTACGGTGGACAGCCGTGTGTGATGTTCGTACGGTGGACAGCCGTGTGTGATGTTCGTACGGTGGACAGCCGTGTGTGATGTTCGCTCGGTGGACAGCCGTGTGTGGCGGCAGGCCGCACGGGGCGAGTGTTGACTGGGCTGCGCTGGGAGGCTGCGGCGCGCTGTGAGCTGTGTTGCCGTCCTGCGACTCGCGCAGCCAGGCTGCTGGTCGCTGACGCCCTCCCCCTCGTGCCGCAGGTACTACCCGGAGTCGTTTACACTGCTGCGGGATCCCGTGGCCGTTGAGCTGTTCTACCAGCAGGCCAAGAGCCGCGTCTTCAAGGTCGGGTAGCGGCACTGATGTATCGCATGGGACCCGGCCGCCGGCCGGACTCTCCCAGGTAGTCGGCCGGCGGCCGTCCCCAGCCC